GACACCACAGAATCCACACTTGACGAAGAACGATGTCATAAAGGATCAAAACTGCGCTACAACTTCATCACACAACCCAATAAGCAACACTTGGTTACCTCACAAACCTCAGGATCTCATGCCACATGATGACGGGACAAACTTCCGATCCTCACACGGTAGACCACCAATCAACTAGCGTACGAGAGACACATGCGAATGACACTCGCGCCAGATGGCTTCCTCTAGCATCTTGTCGACTGTAGAAGAGACACCATTGTGTACACTGTCCCCTATATGAGCGGCACGAAATATCCTCCATCGAGCAGAAAAGACTTTACTAGCTGAAAGATTTATTTGACCTAAAATGGAATTCCTTCGGTATTGTATCGAGACGTTGATCTTCCCATTGGTTGGAGATGTGATAGTACTACTACGACCTATCTCGGGATGGCATAGCTGCCCCACCCGGAGTAGTTGTTTTTTATGAAGCATATCTCGGGATGGCATAGCTGCCCCACCCGGAGTAGTTGTTTTTTATTAAGCATATCTCGGGATGGCATAGCTACCCCACCCGGAGTAGTTGTTTTTTATGAAGCATATCTCGGGATGGCATAGCTGCCCCACCCGGAGTAGTTGTTTTTTATGAAGCATATCTCGGGATGGCATAGCTGCCCCAATCGGAGTAGTTGTTTTTTATGAAGCATATCTCGGGATGGCATAGCTGCCCCAATCGGAGTAGTTGTTCTTTATGAAGCATATCTCGGGATGGCATAGCTGCCCCAATCGGAGTAGTTGTTTTTTATGAAGCATATCTCGGGATGGCATAGCTGCCCCAATCGGAGTAGTTGTTCTTTATGAAACATATCTCGGGATGGCATAGCTGCCCCAATCGGAGTAGTTGTTCTTTATGAGACATATCTCGGGATGGCATAGCTGCCCCAATCGGAGTAGTCGTTCTTTATGGGCATATCTCGGGATGGCATAGCTGCCCCATTCGGAGAGTACCAAGTGACAGCAAGGCCCTTGCTGCAAGGGTGGCGCCAACATGGGCCCATAGATGAACAAGGCCACTGGTCTTGAAGCAACTACACACTCGATGATATTATTTGTTTGGTGGAACCTGGTGAAGAGTCCATACTCTCATATGTCTCAAAGAGAGGGGAGCTTCAAGAAACGCGCGGGGTTGCCGACGTGCCCGATTGTGAACTATGAATATGCCCGATGTGTGATGGAAGTTGCCGTCGTAGCACTGCCACAAGCTACCTACCTCTGGAAGTCCTGTGGAACCTCCCGTAAGGGACCAATGATCACGGACCAACTACTCCCATAACATCGTCCGACGTGAGAACTTCTTGCTGATGACAGGGTAAGTTACCTAACAACAAGTTAACTGATATCATCGGTGAAATTTCCTCACCCTATGGATTTTAACGATGCGAAAGCGCCTTGCGGTGGAGCTGTGAGGCGCTTCACAATTTTCGCTCTTCATAACCACTACTGAAAAAATTCCCAGAACTAAACTTAGCGATTCACAACACCAGACATCTCAATGCCATAGCTAGACTTATGGCAATGCTTGTTAAACTGGCGTAGTAACCCAACACAAGGCATTCTAAACGCCACAGTTATTCGAGTAAATTAAAAGTGAAATCAGTTGTGCCGGAATCGAGGCACCTTAACACTCCAATTCTCAAACTAAATCGAGGTCTCAGACCGAGACTCTTGGACAGCCGCCCTCTGTTACAGTTTCAACTTTCCAGTGGAAAGTCAAAATTCGAATACATATAATATCAAATCAACGATGTGATGATACAACTGGTTAAATCAGCCTAGTTACCGGCGAGGACGTCAACCCAGTTCTTGCTCGGCCTCCTCCGTTCATTAGCAACGATCTTCTCCACTTGCTCGGCCAAGGCCAGACACTTATCATCCTTCCACTGCGGGCACATCACCTGAACAAATAACATTCTGGAGACCTCATTGGAATATTGTGTGTATAGAGCTGACCAACAGGCCGATCGGCATCCCTTTCGAATCGTAGTCCACAGGGACAGTAATAGCTGGAAACCCCAAGAAGTTTGTAGGCCAAACATAGCGCATCATTTGAACGAAGAGTGTGGTATTAGACATGCCTAGACACAAGAGGCAATGAGAGACTGGTAACACCATCTATCAAGACAGCTGCATGTTACTACCGTGAGCTCTGGTATCCTCTGGTATAGGAATGGATGTGATGGGCAGTGTCGGTGTAACAATAGCATCCACCTTCTCGAACACAGCGTTCCTGAGAGGCAAGAGTAATCCTGGAGCTGCTATGCTCCTGCTTACCATTGCTCCATAGACCAGCCCTTTAATCGCTCCATGGTGAGTCTTTCAACTGCTGTTATATCTCGTCCAAGACCAAATTCAATCTACAACACATCAGCGCAACCGTAGAGGCCCGACAACCTTAAGCACCTTAAGCACATCGGAAGCCAACCCTTCTCACCTTAGTGCCTGGTTCCAATCGAGAGATATCTTCGTAGTCGAGTTCCTTGCCGAATTCGGCAGTTATCGTGAGCACTGAATTCGAGTACGTTAAGAATCGCTCATTTACACTCTGAGCTCACTATGGGAGAGTGACTGAGCGCCCATGTTTGGCATTGTGAAATTATAAATATTCCAATCCAGAGCAGTCAATGATTTCTCGAATGCCTACCAAATGTACTCTGTTCATTATCTCAACCACATATACAACCTACATTGTAGACTTCCGGATCACTGTGGCGAACCCAATCCTGAAAGATCCCAACAGTAGGCTTGTGGTTAGTCTCTGGGCTGGTCAATGCATGCAGATGGACTGCAGGACGCCCATCGGGACCGTATAGACGATCGTAGATATGGGGCACTGAAGAGAAACCACAAATACTCGGGCGACACCTCAACCTAGCTACTGTTGTTACCTTCATGCTTAGTGTTGCCAATTACTCGTAGGACATGAGCTGCATCTGCGACGGTCGCTGCAATCGGGCCACAATGAAGGACGGTGAAGACGGAAGTAGAGGGAATTTCGAAGTTGACCTGTGAGCTTGCGTGCAGGGCTATGTCACTCTAAGACGACTCACTCGACCAAAGGTGGGCGCCAGGCCGACAACACCGGACCATGAGGAAGGTATGCGTATCGATCCACCTCCATCAAACCCAATGGCGAATGGTACCTGCGAACAGATAGTGAACAGGTTGGATCCGAGACGCATAAGGGCTCACCAAGCCAGCAGCAACAGCCGTGGCGCTTCCACTGGAACTACCTCCTGTGAAGTACGAGGTATTAAAAGCATTCAAGGGGCCTTGATACCAAGCTGAGGTGACAGCACTACACGTTGGAGCAGTTAAATGACCTTACTATTGTAGCCCAGCGGTGACACGCCATATTCGTGCATAGTATTGGTACCCAAGAGAATGGCACCAGCATCGAGAAGGGCTTGAACTACAGGGTCGTTATCCTCCTCCTGCACTCACATGAACATATCATGCACAGTGAACCAGTAGTAATAATATAACTCACCACTTTGGCTGCGCCGGGCAGACGATTGTTGGGATTAGTTCCGTACATATTCGGGAGTCCTTTAACCTAATCAGGCGCAGTCCTAAAGGGTCAATCTAACACAGAGCTTACATGCACTTCATCCTTGATAGTAAAGGGGACACCATCGAGCATAGACAGAGGCTTCCCCTCAGCGTATCTTTTGTCACTCGCCTTAGCCATCGCCATTATTTCTGACTCGGGAAGAAGATCTTGGATGGCCTTGATGGTTGGATTCAACTCGGCTACTGCCGATAATACACGCTGAGAGAATGTACAGATAGAGCCTGGCGATAAGCCTCGGAGCTCACCGTGATAACTTGTGTCGGAGTTCGACCAGAGAGATAAGCCCGGTGGTAATCCTCAATGGTATTATACGGATACTTACTACTGTCCAGCTGGCTGAGGTACTGTGTTGGATTCTGAAAAATACCATCATACTAGTAATCGTACGCGGCACAAGAACCGCGAGGAAACAATAGTCAACTTCAGCGACATACCTCCGCTAGTTGAGCATGCTCTTCTCTAGCATATCTCCGCGCAGCATCAAAGTCCTCATCATCTGAACACGAAACAATTTCATGACAATTCGATATATAGGCAGCCACTCTAGACTTACCAAGCCTTTGCATGGGCATCCCTAAAGATGGTATTCTTTTGTCCACTTGCAACGAGAGCTGTCGGAGTGTTTCAGGCTGAAGAGCGACAGTATATTGGCCGTATGGGATGAAGTAGCGGTTACTCACGTGATTGCTGTTGATAAAGGCTCTCCTTATGATGCGACCACCTTTCCATTGGCCAAGTATCCAAGCCAAGACCTGACAGCCACTCAGAACAGGCTCGCGAGTTGAATCTCTACCTGAAGTTTTGTCCCAGTAGCAGCAGGCGCGACGAAATCTTTCATATCGTACCCTCCCTCGCCAAGGAGAGGCATCGGACCCTCTAGGTCATATAAGATCTAGCAACGAAAGTCAGAGTTACAAGTCGTCATAATCCATCGGCGAAATACTCTCCTTGACCTACCACATCTCCGCTTAAGAAGCCGACAGGCCGATCACTAAAGCGATGGCGACACACAGAGGCACACTTGGTGAAGATGACGCATGAGAAATCAGAATGACCTAATAGTAGTAGCCTTACGCGTGATCACTGTCACATGTATCGAAAATACAGACGTTCGCAGTGGAGAACTAGCTA